GGTATCCAGAAGCACTTATTCTGCAGACCAACTGAACAATATGAAGGCAGGTGCCTTCGGGGGATGGAGTGGGCGAGGAATGTTGCAGAAATGGCAAGTTCTTTGGAGCACTCCTTTCCCCCCTACTCCACCTCAGTATTGCCTGGGTTCCACTTTCAAAAGCTGCTGCTTATGGCTAGGCACTGAGCAATCTGAGAAATGGTACTATTTACATTGGAAGATATACTGTTTGACCCTGCAGTTGGGTCAAATGGGAAACTCTCAGTCTGAACCAGCACACAAGCCTAGGTTTTGGCATGTGCTTCCAAGGTGCATAGTATTCTGAGCTATATCATTTTTCTTGTTGTTTTGGAAGGATCCAGTGGTTACTCACATGCTCTTAGGAGTTCTTTCCAATTCTGATAGTAGTGATCATGTAAGGGGATTAACTGTGCAACAGACAAACTGTTCTGGACATGGACACTGACTCCATGGATGCTGCATGGCTAGAGCACCCAGGGAAAAAAAATAGTGGGTGCTCAGCACCCACTACCCATCGCTGATCAGCAGCACCGCCAAAAAGCTGTTTGGCAGCTGTGGGAGGGGTTTGAGGAAGGGTGGAGAGCAGCAAGTAGGGGGAGGAGTGGGGGCAGGAAGAGGCAGAGCAATGGTGGGGCCTTGGGGGAAGGGGTGGAGTGGGGGCGGGGTCTTGGGCAGAGCAGGGGTGGAGCACCTCCCGTGAAAAATAAATGTCAGCGCCTATGGATGGAGAAGTAGCATATTGTTCACACAATTATTAAGCAATTGGTTGACCGATAAAAGGTTGGTGACAACTTGTGGTGTGGTAAATAGAGTTAGACATGTTAAACCTGCTGTTCTTATCAAGATGTGGCATGGTAATAGCAGTGCTAATGCTTTCTACAATTTCCAGGTGGACAGCTTTTCAGAGTTGATATTGGTAGCAGCCAAGAAACTCTCAGCAGTGCTGCAACATCTGTGGAGTATTGGCACATATTAGCTAAAAGTTTCCTGAAGGAATCAGTTGCTTCAGAAACCTGGAGGTCAAATTAGTTTTCCTGCAATTTCATTCCAAGGTGGGTTTGGACCAGCTGATACACTAGGTAGTTACTCTGCTTGATCGGGGATTATCATTTTTTCACCTATCATAGCCAAACTTGGCTTTTATGTCTATGCAACCATGGTGGACTTTCTTGACCCCTGGAGGGAAGGTCAGCCAGTGTCCACGGTTGAGAGTCGCAATACACAGCAGCTCATCTACTCAAGTTCTGTATGTCTTGCTATCACTGATTTAGAAAGTTCAAGTGGAACAAAGTGCTTTTTGGTGCTGTATTTGTAGCTAATCTCTTTGGAGCATTTTGGAGGAGTGAGCTACTAACCAGATTAGTGCATGACACTTTTGAATGATCGCTGTTTCATAATGGCCTGGCATGGGTGATTAAGAGTGTCCACTTTACCATAGGTTCTCTAAAACAGACCCTATGGGGTGAGGGTTATTTGTATCTCTGGCAATGTGCTATTCCTTCTTATGATCACTGAGAATTCTGAGAATTGCTTTTTGCATCCCCTGTTTCAGGTTCACTTTTTCCACCACCTAGTGTAGATATCAGTTCCTTAATATTTTAATAATGTGTATTTACTATCTAGGTCTCCATTCAAAGGATTACAAAGCTCAAATATTCAAGACAGATACTGTGAGGATTTGATCCTGAGGATACTAGGACAGTTGGCAGTCTGACCAATATATGGCACTATTTGTCAGGGCACTATTTATTTAATGATTCTGGCAACCATATAGGAGCTTAGTATTTTAATTTGGATAACAAAGTTAATGCTGCTAGGTTATCTTTTTATCAGGGTTGGCTCCAGGCACCAGCCTAGCAAGCAGGTGCCTGGGGCGGCCAAAGAAGAGGGGGGCGGCACATCCAGCCGTTCGGCGGCAGGGCCATCACTCCCTTTTGGAGCGAAGGACCTGCCACCGAATTGCCGCCATAGAATGAAGCGGCGGTAGAGCTGCCGCCGCTTGCGATCGCGGCTTTTTTTTTTTTTTTTTTCTGCTTGGGGTGGCAAAAACGCTAGAGCCGGCCCTGCTTTTTATCCAGGTCTCTAAGCAGCTATCTCCTAGATCACAACAGAGATATGTGAGCACAGTATTGTGCAATGAGCACAGGAACAAATAGCAGACAGGTGACTAGATACACTGCTAGCTCTCAACCCATCCCAGATTCTCTTTTACTGAACAGCATGAGGAAGACATGATCTACAGATATTAGAGTCAACTAGAACTATTGATGTGGTAGATAGCTACACCTGAGCAGGCCTAACATATTTTAATAATCCATTAAAAGCAATGGATCGTAAGCTTTTTTGTTGGAGTCTCTCTAATGTGGATTATGAACAGATGAGAAATAAGCAAAAAATTTATTTGGTTGTAGTTACCTCATTACTTTGTTTCATTAATGGCTCTTCATGCAAGCTATTGCCATCTAAAGACAATTCTAAAATATATTTCCAAAATTCTTGTGAGTCTATCAGGACCAACGAACAGAAAGTTCTTCCAAAAACACATTTTTGGGGTATGTGACCAATACCCACCACCAACTTTCATTTCCTGCTTAATCCTTCAACCTCTCTCCTTGTGTTTCCTTTCTGCAGCCTACCAGCAGCACAATGCACTGCGAGCAGGCATCTTTGTCTCCTACTGAAACTGAAAGGGAGGATGTAACGTCCAGAAACTCTTCCCTCTTCAGCACCTCTCCTTAGGAGGTTATAAGGTTCTCTTTTCTCCAAGGATGGACTACATGAAATTACCCAAACTGTGATCTTACCCAAACCAAGAATTATTAAAAGCAGAAATAGTGAACTAAATCAAAATAAACTGTTTTTAACATACCTAGATGTACACTCATCATAAACTAGATATGACATTCTCAGCAATAATTACAGAGAAAAAAAGAAAGATCTTATGTATCTAAGCAGCAGGTCGCTGCTCTGACATCCCTTTCTCAGAGTCATCCCCGGTGTAGGATTCAGAGAGAGATGCATGTCTCCATCACTCCACAAGCCCATCAAGCCGTCCCATGACCCAGGGCAGCCATCTCTACCTTCAAAACCAGTTTTCTCCAATCACCTGCAGTACGGTATGGGAGAGTCCTAAGAGATAGACTAATGTGGATACAAAAATGCTTTAACAATGATAAATAGTAGTCTTTCAAATGCTCAGCAATCTAGCGCAGATGGCACCTCTCTGCTGCATACACCCAGGGCTTGTTTATATTAGAAAGCCTGTAACATTTTAACTATTCTGGTATAGTTAACATGGTACAACTGACCTTAGGGTGGATGCAACTAGATTTTGTATGAAGGTGTATATAATATATAGTATACTAGTGTGTATATATATATATATACACACACATACACACACACACACTATATACTAGTATATATAGTATAGGAATATACTAGTATATGTCACCTTTTTATCAGTTAACTGCACCTACACTAGGTTTTTTCCTGATATAACTATTTTGTTTAAAAAAAAAAATCACACCCTAACTAAAATTATAAACAGTAATCCTTCTGAGACTAGACCAGACTCAATCTTCATTACTGCAGAACACAGAGTTTGGGTGTGACCTTTTTTTAAAAAAAAAAATCCCCTACTTTAAATCAAATGGCCCAACTCAACTTCCCATTGCTATGAAATATAAATTGACAAATCCTCAAAGCCCACTGTTACAGGATAAAATGTTGCTATTGGGCTAAATAGTCTTGAGATTTTACAGTGTGGACTTTTTAAAGTGTTTAACACAGCATTTAGCACACTAGCAGAACTTAGCATATTTACATTTTCTCACACAATGCAGTTAACACCTTTTACTGGTATTTTAGACACCAGTTAATTGATTTTTATGTAAAATGGGCAAACTCTACATCACTGCAGGTGCCTGGTAGTTACTATTTTAGCATCACAATTATCCAGTGCCTGAGGCCTCTTAGAGATTTATTAGACTTTTACACCTTTTCAATGGATGTTGATAAAAGTTCACAAAGCTTGACTACAGCCTTAAGATCAGAAGGAGAATATTAATGTCTGCCTTATTAACTATTATGATTTTATGATTTCACAAGGTTAAGTATGTCACATACATGGATCTTTTTAAAGATAGACAATAAGTAAATTAAAATGCCTAATAAAAGTGTCTAGTACAGGCAATCCAGGTCTTACTCAGGAAAAAAGCCAAAGTAGGTGGGTCAAATTAACCTTTCTGATCCGTTATGAGAAAGGCAATTCAACTCCCAATTTGCAGTCTACCTAACAAAAAAAAAAAATTGCCTGAAAGAATTCTTTTTTTAAACTTTGTTTAGTATAGAACTTCCCCTCAATCCAAAGTTGCAAAATTATCCTTGGAAAAATTAATGAATGCCTCAGAACATTGCTGTGAGAAAGGTAAGTATTATCTTAATTTCAGAGGTGGGAAAGGTGTGTCAGAGAGAGGTTAAGTCATTCAGCAAGCCTGTTGCAGAGTCAGGAATAGAACAGAGGGTGGGATCTATGAAAGGACTTAGATCTTGCAATGCTGAGCATCAAACTGTGTAAGTTTTAGGCACCTTGAAAATCAGAGGAAGAACACTGTGATCCACAAAGCCAAGTTAGGCTCCCTATGCAATGAATGGAGGAGAGATAGGCACCTAACAATGAGATCCACAAAAGCCAGCACACAAGGCGCTAAGCCACCTAAGCTAGCCAATGGGAGATGGTGACAACAAAGATGTGTGCTAAATCCCACCCCTCTCTTGGAGTTAGGCACCTACATCTGGATTGTAGTGAGGTGCCTATCTCTGCTTAGCAATCCACAATTGGGAGCCAGCCACCCAGAGTCCAGAGGTTTAGGCACCCAAGTTGTTTCTTATACGAATAAGTTAGACACCTGCCTCATTCCACACAGAATGGTGAAGGAAGAGGTGTCCAATTTTAGCGTAGTGGTTAGAGAACTCACCTGGGGTGTGGGGCGCCCTCCATCTCTCCTGTTGAAGCTGTACCACTGTGGACAAACAACAAAAGAGTGATTGGAGCCTGGACCCTGTGTCCCCACTGAATGACAGTCGTTCTCTCTCTCTCTCTGGCCTGATGACTGTTCCACAGTGGATAAATACAAGAGTGAGTGAGTGAGAGAGGGACTATAGGTTAGGGCACCAAGCTAGGAAGTGGGAGCCCCAAGATCCAGTCCACTTGCTCCAATCACTCTTGCCTTATTTATCCATAGTGGAACAGCAGGGAAAAGAAGGAGCTGCCCTTTGCTCAGAGTAGATAATTAACTCATGATCTAGCCCTTAATAATCTGACATTCATACATACAGTATTTTCAAAACCATGATTCATGAACAAGATTATGATTATCAAAAAGTCAATGGTGTTGTTCCCGATAGTTCCATATACTGTTGTGGTTTCTTACTTGTCAAAACATGCTCTCATTCCAATTATTTGTAGTTAGAAGATTATACCTTGCAAATCTGGTATAAATGGGTACAAAGTGGTGACACGGGAAAAGTCAAAACAAGGGCAACAGGGAGAAGTATGTAATTTTGGAAAATGTAAACAGAGTCCTTGTTTATAATATTATTCATATGACTCAGTATAATTATTATCTTGTAAACATAACTCACTGCTGTTCAGAACTGTGTAATCCACATAGTAATTTGTCAAATTAAAAATATTTTAGACTGTCATTTCATGTCTCTTTCAGTTTTTATTCACTGCATCTATATGAAATGGGAGCTTTGGGCTTTTATTTTGTATACATATATATTAATTCAAAGGTACTTTATTTAATTTTATTCTCTGGTGGTTATTTTGTTAATTGTTAAGTAGTTAGATATTCAGAACCTTTTAAATTTATTTTGTTGTTTGTATTACAGATTTGTGTTAAGTACATGGTAAAAATAGGATGGTTGAGGAGGTTACTGCACATGGCTGGGAAATTTGCTCTAGAAATTTGGCTTCTATTCCTGGCTTTTCCACAGATTTCCCATGGGAATCTAGAAAGTCATTTAACCCTTGACTCAGCTTTCCTTCTATAAAATTTGGATAATATTTACATCCCTCACAGAAGTTCATTAATGGTATAAATCACCCTGAGATCCTTGGATGGAAGGCATTATAGTAGTGAAAAATATTATAAGTCAACAGTGAAATATTATACATATCATCAGACTGTACCAGTGATAAGATAAGAGAATAGTGGTGATTTACCTGTCCTTGAGGAAGGTACTCTTGCTATTTCTAACGAACAAGGTTTCTTCGTAACTGCTATGTCCATGAAATCACAAAGGTTGTTTTCATTTTCTGAAGGATGAGCATCAAGAGACGCAGAAGGTACTACTTCCAGTGTATAGCTCCTTTTCTTTCGGTAAGACTCCTGAAAAGTAGAAATGCAACTACATGATAAAAAGCGACTTTGTGGATGCAGTAAAACTGGAAAAAAGAAAATGATTCAATAACTCTGTCAAAAATAGAACTTAAAATTCAACAGTTTAAATAAATGATTTCCTATTGAAACCCTAAATTTAGTGACTAGAAGGGGTTACTTATAGTCTATCATAAATAAATAAATAAAGTTCACTGTTGAATATTACATTTTTTTATTATTTGTGATGATTGTGTATGGATTTCTTTAACTCTTCATTTGACATATGGCAAGCGCTCTAATGCAGTTGCTTTTACTGTACCTTTTTTGTTAAGTTCTGATTCAGGTATACATCCTGATCAGATTTTAAAAGTGTATTTTGTGAAAGAAACAGAATTATATAGAGTTAATAAATGGAATTTCTTTGTTTTCAGGGATTTTGTGAGTTTGTTTATACTATACATATAACACATGGATAACTTGATCTATTGTTTGATGGCAGAACCCAGAAGAGGTTAGTTTCCTTTGAGTATCCTGAATGGCTAGCGTTATGGGCACTAGGGCTCTCTTTGGTTATTCTTTTATGTGTGGTTTTTTTGTGTGAACAGAAACAATTAGAAGTGGATACTTACTGGTTGTGATTTCCTGAGAAATAGGAGGCATCCCTTGATATCTATAGGCTACCGGCTCAATTCAAATCCCCCTGAAGTCAATAAAAAGATTCTTATTGGACTTCAAGGGGAGTTAGGCTGTGCCTTAAATTAATATTTAAATATTAGTGATGAATTCTAGGAGTATGAGTTCCCTACATTTGCTAATGCTGGAAAGAAGCAAACAGATAGAAGATATGACATGTTCACTCTGCCAAATCATGAGATTGGTCTCAGTATTCAAAACCACTAAATTAAGTAGGGCTTGGCTGGTTCAGAACATGAGTGAAAATAGCAGTCTGGTACAGGAATTTCTCTAATTTTGTGGTTGCAATCCAGCAAAATATGCTAAAGTATTCAAAGACAATCTCTCACAGGAACACAATGTTTGGCTATTCTGTGTCACCCATATGGATGCATATAGAAATTAGACACCATATAAATCTGATATGACAAGAAACTATGCAACAGGCCACCATGTGTTCATCAGAGTCACACATAAGCAAAGTACTTCCCAGCAAACAATGTAAGAATGTGCCACGCAGAGGAGGTCATGGCATATCAATTTCCCCATAGACTAAAAAATATTTCATCCAGCTCAAGGCAAACAGATGGATGTAAATAACCAGATCATTTCTGCTGTGGAAGATTTGTGCATCGATTGTCCCTTTAAACTATTAGAACCTTCTGCAGTTTTTACTTTACTCAGTTCTGCCTGATACGTATGGAAGTTCAAAAGCAAATTATAATTCTGAACCTACTGGGAGGCAGAGACTCTGGCACCAGCGTCATGGCAAGAGCAGCGTGAGTACCTTCATAGCCTCTTCATGATTCCACATACTAACATTAGCAGAACCAAATTTCAGTGAACTGTTTGTTTATACAGGAGAAGGGGGCTGTAGATTCAGGGAAGAGATGATTATTGGAAGAGAAGTATAAAGAAGAAGCTGGAAGAAAAGCAGCATCATGGAAAATGATGGATTAAACAACTATAAACTGAATATAGGAAATGGTTTTCAGAGAAAATAAATATATATATTTGTAATAAATAGAATATATGCAAGAGAACAAACAGGCTAGCATTAATAGTTAAAAATTAATAATTTCCATTGAGAAATAAAAGCAAATAGGGTTCAAAATAAAATTTAGAAAAGGAAACAATGAATGGGGAAGAAAAAAACGGTTACATCTTTTACCCTTCCATACTGTCGGTATGTTTGTCTATTCAGAGTGTAGGCTCTGTGGGATAGCATCCTTGTTTATATTTCTGTATAGTGCCTAACGCACTTTAGGGCACTGTATAAATAAAGAATTGGGCAAGTTTTGCATTTGGGCCTCCTGAATTGTCAAGTATGATTTTTTTAAACTCAGAATGGTCTCATTCCCCAGATGAAGAACATACAAAATGGTGCTTTTGATACCACTCCTTCCAAGATTTACACATGTTCTTAGCTTTAAATATGGTAAAATGTCCAGTTGAGGACAATGGGATTGTGACGGGTTGGATCACAGAAACTCCCTTGGGAGCTGCCACCCGATGTGCAAAAACTACCCCTGCTTCTGTTTTCCCTGCCAGCTCAGGACTCCAGCACCC